ACCCGTTTGGGCCTGCCAGGTCTGACTGGCGTCCTTCCCCACCACCGGAGCCAACTCACTACCAGGTAGTGGTCAGTGGACAGCTCCGCCCATCTCTTCACCCGAGTGTCCAAGACATACGGCCGCAGATCCGATGAAACGATGACAAAATCGATCATCGAACTGCAGCCTAGGGTGTCCTGGTGCCAAGTGCACATATGGACACCCTTATGCCTGAACATGGTGTTCACAACCATTCATCAACTTATTAAGAAATGACGTCACAGAAAAGTGACAGGTGCCACGCCCCTTTAGGGCGGGACATCTGTATATGGTCAGCTTCCGGTCTGTCCTTCCTGTGGGACCACCATATATGGTCAACTTCCTTTTCGTGACTTCCTCTTTTGATTTACCGTAACTATCCCCCTCCCTCATTCCCCCTCGACTTCCAGTAACCCCTACCCTCCCTTTTCCCCCTCAATTTACCGTAACTTAGCCTCCCTTTTACCCCCTCGAATTACTGTAAGCCTTGACCACAACATCATGTTTTTGAGCAGATGTTATATTGCAAAAGTGTTTGAGCTGACATGAAGCCTATTCTGTTGACCACAACATCCTGTTTTTTGAGCAGATGTCCACAGTTCGTGACTTCCTGCCTTGCTGAAGCTTACAGGCTGTGAAAGCTTTCATCAAAATGACCACGTCCAATCAGCGGATAGGGTTAGACTTTAGACCCACACGTCAGCCAATCAGATCGTGTTTAAAGCATTAATTCCCACCCCTCCGCGGTTCTCGATGTGTTTAAAAGAACGCGTCTCATTCATTCCATACTGCCACCCCCGAGAAGACACCTGCTGCGTTACAGGCCCGTCAGTACTTTCATCAGCGAGTGACAAGACCCCAGCGCGACTGCTACGGCAACTTAAGTAAATTTTAAAGGTTTGTATTTATTAAGTTTTATTCAGTTTAATGTATTTATATATATTTTTTAATTGTACTCTATATCAACAGCGTGAAGAACCATCTCCATGTTCCACCAGTGTTCCGCGGCACCACCACCAGCAGACCAACGTAAATTTTAAAGGTTTGTATTTATTTTATTTGTTTTATTATGTTTAATGTGTATATATACATATATTTAAATGTACTCTGTTTGTGTGTTCCAACAGCAGCAGCCTTGCGCAGCAATTAGAAGCGGAGTTTTCCTTTTTTTGCACAAACTAAACTAACAGGTCAGTAAAAAAATTTTATATAGAGTTATAATGTTTTTATATTTCACGTGTTGCAAATTGATTTTTAATTATTTTTTGTCTGTCTTTCTATTTATTTTTTTCAGAAAAATCATGTCTAAGAGGGGCGGATCACCAGTTGAACATGCTGATGAACAACCGGAAAAAAGAAGTAAAAATGCAGCCACCTCTACAGAACTAGACAAACAGAACGCTAATCTTGAATCAGATGCTCGAATTGGCACCTTCTTCACCCCGGTATCCGTTTCGCGGCCCGAGGCTGAAGACCTGGCAGGAGCTCCCAAAAAATAAAAATAGCGTATATACTGTATATTTAGAAGCCAGGTCCCCCCACCGCATCTTCTGCACAGAGAGTTCTCTTTAGAGAAATATGGTTTCACCGCGAGCGTGGGTTATGTGTTTAATTATCACAGGGGGGAGGTGGGTTTTTATCAAATTTGCGACAACGAGCAGTTTTTAACCGACACTCCTCAGTCCATCATTAAATATGAGGACTGGTTGGTTCTAATCGCGTTACTCCCGCTAGATGAGTTTATCCCAAAAACGAGCCCTGACTCTGAAAAAAACAAAAATCGAGTTCTTATCTGGAGCAATCCTCCCACAAAATCCAAGATCGCTCAGAAAAAAGAGTTGTACAAAGCTTCCTGGACATCCGACACCTGTCACAACGGGGTGTGGAAATTGCAGGCGAGCATTTATGAAAATGACCATCTGCATCCTCATAATATGTTTGTGCTAGACAGTATTAATACAGACTGCGGTACATTTCGTGTAGTTTTATCACTTCCAGTTGTCGCAATACACGCTATTCTTCACGATTGCAACGTAGCTGCCGAAATAACCACTCTTTTTTAAGACCTGTCATCGGTGGAATGATATTGTGGCTATTAAAAAATGTTAGATTTTAACCCGTAATCTTACACACACACACACACACACACACACACACACACACACACACACA